AAACAGATGCACAACACTATTGTTCCATACTACTTATCAATGTATTAAATAGTGAGGGTAAGCACTAGTGATCCTCCCACTTCTATAGTATATAGAATGTTACTGTGAGTCTGTACTATTATTCACTCTTATTAGAATGACTGGGCAAAGATATATATATATATATATATATATATATATATATATATATATATATATATACACACACACACACACACATATATATATATACATATACACACACACACACACATATATATATATACATACATACATATATACCATCTTAGATAAACAAGAGGCTGCTTTAACAGTTTGGCTTAATTGTGCCGAGCACCCATCATCCCAGATCTTTGTGTGTGGGGGGGAGACATCCCGATCTCACAACCTTTTTCCCCTCTCCCTTCTCCATCTCCTGCCCTAGAGCTTCAAAGCAGGCTACAATATTTGAAACGAACTTTTATGACGTGTCCCTTTTCTGGAATTACATTTGGGGGGGAGGGAGGGCTAAGGGGAGAGATCTCATTTTAGTCTGTTTAGCAATAATGGGAGCAGGCGGAGGAGGAGAGAAATTACGCAAGACCCGGGGTATTTGGCTTTAACATTCCTGCGAAAGAGAGTTTTAAAAACAAAGCGCTGGGACGGACGAGGAAGTGCCGATTCCACTTACTAGCTAGCCTGTCCCTGGCTAGTCCGGTGACTCACGTGCCAGGGCCGATAGCGGGTGGGGGGGGGGGGAAGAGTCCCGCGCTCGGGTTAGGCGTCCTCGAGGCCCCCTATTGACTAATGGCTTCCCGCCCTCTTCTCCCTCCCCTCAGGATCCGGCATTGGGCTGGCTGCTGGCAGCCCTCACGCGCCCTCGCTCGCCCTATAGTCTTCGTCGCCTGGTCTCCTTTCTCTCCCCTCCCCCCCCGCCCGTGTTTCTCCGGCAGTCCGCACTGGTGCTGAGGCGGCAGCTGCGGCCCTCAGAAAAGCGCGGGGATCTCCTTATTGAGGGAGGGAGACAGACTCGCGCTTTGCCAGCCGTCATCTCTACTCCCACACACCCCCGGGAATTAGGAGGCGAACCTTCCCCGGTTCCCTTTCCACACAAGAGCAACGTTTCCTCCGTTTCCTCTGCAAAGGAGGCAAGAGGACAGCGGGGGTCTGTGGTGCATCCTTTCACACAGCTCCCAATCGGCTTCACCCCAACCTGGGACCACAAGGGTGAAAGCCGCGCGTGTCTGTGTGTTTGTGTACGAAACGTAGAATAAGCGCCGAAGTCACACCTCCCGCCCCTCCCCCCGGCCTCTGTTTCTCTTTCCCAAAAATATATATGTCACTCTGAATGGAGAACTTCTCAGTTGGCCGGAAAGGTGGAAGCCCGCAGTCGGTCTGCCTTTAACGCGCCAGGCTCCCTTCGCCTGTAGCTGCTGCTGCTGCTGCTCCGGGCGTCGACGACGACGAGGGGTGGGGCGGGGCGGGGGCGCCCTTGCCTGGCCGAAGAAGAGACGGGCACCTGGAGGTTTGTTGTGGAAAAACTTGGTTACCTGGTCAGTGGATGCTGCTGCCGCCGCCGCGGAAAAAACTTTGCTTGAGGGTCATTAAAAAAAAAAGCCGGGTCCGCTTGGCGCGCCACAGCTGGGGACGCCCGTCAGAAACAGCCCTGTTGCAGAAGCCTTGGGATTTGACGCGCCGTTGCCTCGGGTGGGGTCTTCGCCAAACTCCGGGGAAACGTGGGCATCTCCGTCAGCGGCCCGCTCCAGATCCGGAGTGAGGCATCCGAAGAGGGCCATGGCTTAAGGCAACGTACGTATCTTTTGGGACGGGGGGACGGTGGGTCGGCCTGAATTAGCCGTCTCCCTCCCGCGCTCCCTGGTTGCATTTTGGAGAGGCAACCCTGTTTTGATTTTTTTACGGGCGTTTTATTGACTGAATGCGATCGCCTGGAAGACGCGTGGTCACCTTTTCAGACCCAACCTTGTTTTGTCCCAACCGTGTTTGTTTGTTGGGAAAAGACTTTAGTTTGGAATATTAAGTACGATCAGCGGAGCCTTCCTTCTTCTGGGCACCGTGAAAGGTTAAGGGTTTTTCAGACGCGTCTTTCTCCGCACTTTGAACGTGTCAGGCTGTGAGTCTGAAGGGGTATATTTGAGACCCCGGGATTGTCTCCTTTTGGGCTCTTTTCCCCTCTGCTCCGATCCCTCTTTTCCACTCATGTGCGCCCCCCCCCCTGCATTGGCTGTGGAAGGAAGCGCTAGACTGGCTTCCAGAGCGCTCTTTCCTGACGGGGTCTCTCGTTCCCTCCCTTTCCCTCTCAAGTCATCCAAAGCCCTGGTGGGGAATGGGAGGAGAGAGAGAGGAAAAAAAAAAACGGCATGTGAAAAAGTTGAAACAAATATTCCCTTCGGGAGATTTGTCATCTTGTTGATCATTAAACTGAGTTAGATCTAGCAGCGCTTGATTTTCTCCCCTCCTCTCTTGCTTTGCTTCTACTGGA